AAAAATAAATCTGTGAAAACAATCAATACGTGTATTGATAATGACAAGCGCTTTCAGTTCGCTCTTCTTTCTCTTCAGTTAGATATAGTGAATCATCTTTCAGGTCTAAAGTCTCGGGTTCTGTGAAAAATGTCTGGATTTGTATTTGTAAGAAACATTGAAAGCCCTAGTGAAGTATACCAAGCTAACCCAACAGACCATTGCATAGATAGATCTAAGTCTTTTAGATTTTAAAGACACTTCAAAAAGATTACTCTTTATCCATCAAAATAAACATTTACTTAGCATATTGTCAAACATTTAAATGGAAATCTCTGTACCAGCATGATTGTGTTTTTATCTAGGCAAATTAGTTTATGTATTCTTACTTTACATCTTTATTGGCATCTGGCTGTTTTCACAGGTTTTATTCCATGTCAACAATGGAGCTGGCAGAATAACAGCTACATATGAACCAAGAGGCACAAATAATTTGTGTGATGGGAAATGGCACAAGCTTCAGGCAAACAAAAGCAAACATCGCATTTCACTGCTCATTGATGGGCATTTGGTTCAAACTGATAATCCCTACATCCAGTCTACATCTGCAGATACAAACAATCCCATTTACGTTGGAGGCTATCCTGGTAGGTACAATAATATTTCCCTTCCTTTCTGTCCCTCTTGCTCTCACTCTCACAAGAGTGACTCTTAACACATGTTCCCTCCACCTCCACCCCTTTTGGTTCGCCAGTGGAGTCTGAGAGAGTGTCCAGCTCAGCTGTTACTTCATGTTCTGCCAGTTTCGATTCTAACTTTAAAAACAACTATGTAGCATGGCTTTCTCCTCTCATTTCCCCTCTCATTTCCCAGTGTCCCCTGGGACATACTATTTCTGCAAGCTCTGCACAGGTTATCCCAGTGCATGGCTTGTGCTTGAATGCAGCACTGACTGTTCATGTTGGGATGTCCTAGATCATCCAAATGTGAATAGAACTTGGTGCTTCTCAGGTGTTGGTTTTATCTCTCATTTCAGAGGGAGGAGAAGCAGTTTAATAACCTGGATCTTTGTATTGTTTCTGTTCCCTGGAAATAGATTCTATGCATTTCATGTTTATTTTTCAGCTGACGTGAAACAAAACTGCCTCACAAGCAAGAGCTCATTCCGTGGCTGTTTGAGGAACCTTGTTTTGACCAAGAGCCAACATGCAGAATTCTTTGACTTTAGCAGAGCTTTTGACCTCCGTGGAGTCTTTCCTCATTCCTGCCCTGGGGTTGAGCACTGAACTGTAGCAAAGCCCATCTGGACTGAGAGAGGTTTTTTTTGTTGATCTGTTATTTTGCATTCTCATTTTGTAATGAAAAGAATCAGTGAGAGTCTGCATCTCTTTGATTTTTCTGGTTGCTTTCCAACTCAGGTCATTTTTTTTTTAAATCAGTTCTATGTCTACATTTTAACTAAATGGTTTTAAACAACAAATACCTCTACTACAATGTAATGGCATTAATTGCGTATTTTTCTTTTGGGAATTTTTATTAATCAGTGTTTACAATATGTTTTCTTTTGATTACTTGACAGTATTTCATTTTATTGTGTGTTGGTTGTTTTATAAAAAGGTAATTATTGTGGACCACCAAATAAGACTACAATAAACTGTGCATTATTTCATGTAGTTCAGTTGTCCATACATTTCAGTCAGGAGAAAAAGAACCTACAGACTAAGAAGTGACAAATGTGCCCACAGCAGGGAGGCTGGAACTAGAGGATCTTTAAGGTCCCTTCCAACCCAGGCCATTCTATGATTCTGATGCAATGAAGTGTAAGTGCATATAGTCCGGCAGAGGGAGCAGGAGACTGACTAAAGGCATAATTTTGAATGTCTCAGATGCAGAGTCTAATGAATAGAATTTTCTACTTTATATGGTAGCTCCAGCTTCTTTTCCTTCTGCCTTAAAATCCAGTGCTTCTGATCCTCATTATAGATACATTACAGAAATATCTAGGAGGATTCATGTTGCTCTTTATGCTTTCATGTAATCAGCTTCAGGACAAGCAGCAACTCCTCAGCACAGAGACAAGTATGAAATGTTGTGTTGGTGAAGAAACAATATGGGTCTGACTTGGGAAATACCAGGCATTTTGACAACTAGAACTAATGCACCATACTTTGGAAAACAGTATTTCCTACAGAAGACAGGGAGGCACTTTCGGTGCTCTGCAATTCCTAATTCACAGGCCAGTCAGCCTTTACTGTTGTTCTGCCTCTTCCTTTTCTTACTGTGCTTACCTCTGTTTCTAAAATGAGTCTTCCAGTAGTTGCTTTTGATCCAGGTGTGGGGGACATGTGCTCGATCTGACTCAAGTAAGGACATTCATTCATCAACTGGACAGATCACTGAGCACTGACATACATGTCTCATGCTTTATTATACATCTATAATAAACACAGTTCTTTGCAAGCCACTTCCATCTCCTTTTTTTTTTTTTTTCCTTCTTTGCTTGCTCCTTACAATTTTGTTTGGCTTTTCCTGTGCCCTTTTACAGTTTTTCTGGAGTTAGTTTTGCTCTATGTATTTCATACTAGTTTAAAAAATACTGGCTGAAATGAAACCCCAAAGTGGTTTGACATTGCCTTCAGTGAGTCAGGATTCCAAGCAGTGTCATTTTGAACCCTGCATCAAGGCAGTCCAAGAGAAGAGCTCCTGGAGCAAAGAACTCCTCCACTTAAGCAAGGGTGGCAGAACACAGTCCTTTGTGTAGCTAGCTGTACAGGTGCTGTAACAACACACTTGCTTTGAAGACAGATTCACCACTGCTTTTTGTAATTTCTGTCCTCTGCTTTTATCCAAAAAAACACATTTAGATTTAAAGAGCTTTTTTTTGTTGGTATGGTTTTATTTTTGACATGGGTACAATACAGTGGACACACACTGCTGTACAAATACACTCACGTATTGGCGTACATCAGCAAAACACAGAACATAATGAGGATTGTAAGGGAAACATACACACAAATATTTTGCTTTGATTAGTGGCATTGTATTATTTTCCAGAGAAGACACATATTAATAGAAAGCCATTGAAAAGTCAAAATGAAACACAGTGTGTTTGTATCTGTCTATTTAAACCCAAGATCAGATCTTATAATGTTCACATTACAAGCAGTAATTTAGGCAACATAGTTTGGATAAAATTTCATCCATATCCTGAAATATGTATTTTAGTATATAGTTTTTTGTAATTTCAAATCTTGCCCCACAGAATAAAGACATTTTGTCAATGATAACGCTAGTGGAGAAGTGAAATTGAGAATAGAAAGTTCTTGAGTAGTAAAACTCTAAGCCAAAATATTTTTCCTGGAAAATGCAGAGTGAGGTAGTTAATATTATACATGGACACAGACACATCTGCACGCACACACACATTCGAATGACATTAGCTGCATAAACTGGTTAGAGTATTCCAGTCTTTTTCCATCACCTACTTTTTACAATACTCTCTCAAAGTTTACGATAGTAAACTCTCTCAAAGTCTCGATTTTACAATACTTTGTTGATATGCAAAATGCTTGTCTTTGTAGAACCATGGAGTACATAAATAAATGCTCAAAGCATCTATGGAATTTGAATAAATTTCTCCCTCCTTGCTACCACTTTCTTATTAATAGCTTTCCACACATGTTGCTTTTTGTTGGGTGACGATCCGATTGTAACTTGGTTTTGACTTCAGCTGCTGTGAGGAGGAACAAAATTTCTCATGCCTCCATCAGCAACTTGAAATATACAGCCTGACGTTGAGACCTCATATTTCAAAATGTCACTGAGATTGTTCCATATGCATATGGAACAATGCAGCATATGAAATCAAGTTAGTGTACCACAACAATACAAACCAACTTAATGTGGAACAGTATTAAGCACAGTACACATGGGTCATTAGGTCCATTTGTATCAAAAAAGAATTTTGACATTCTGTTTCAGAGACGGGAGGTATTTGGCCACGCAGCAGTAGTCTGGGCACTGCACGTAGAATGTAGTTCATCTGATAATATGCTCGTTTTATAAAGTTACAGGCAGTTTTAGCATAAGACAAGTGCTCACAAGATGGATTTTATTGCGTCATATATATAACTTTATAAGTTGTGAAGTGGTATCAGTCTTTCAAAAACCCATTGTATTCTGTATGGAATGCAGGGAGATCTATTTCAGAAATAACACTGATGAGATCCAGAACATGCTGAGCAAATTACTGCATGAACACAGGGCTTCTCTGTGATTTCCCTTGCATGGCCATTGAGAACACAGAGTGAAGTTAGTGGGCAAGATGGAGGAGGTCAGTGTATTTGTCTGAAAGTACTGTAGAAAGTTAGCTCATTTGCTATGACATTTCAAATGCTTTTGTTAATGTTTGGGCTTTCTGTATAGTCATAGAACCTCTTTTAATTGGCTATAAATACAGTGATGCTTGGCATTTCCATGAGGCTCTTAGTATTCAAAGCACTTTCCACATAAAACACCTTTGCCAAGTTTGTCCTTCCTAGATGGATGTTTGTAACTCCTCATTGTTCAAGGAATTGTTTGACTGCATTTGAGAGTAGAATTTAACTAATTATCATGTTGCCTTTATATAGAAAGTACTCATCCTGCTTTACAGATGAAAAAAAGGGCAGCATAATTAGGAAGAGTTGTCCATTGCCACAGAGGGAACTAAAGGGTATTGAGAGTGAAACACATGACAAAACATTTATCCTTAGTTCTATAAACAAACCACAGATCTACTATCTCTTGTATACTTATAAGAAATAGTTGTCAAAATAAGGAGTGTATTTTATAATACAACTGTCCTGGTCTTTTCCTGGCTGCAGCTATGTCTCCATTAGTGTTAGGAAGAAAAAGAAAGGGAAAAAAAAAAAAAGCCAAAAAAACCCCAAAAATCAACAGAAAAACCCACACAAAAAACCCCCCAAAACAAAAAACAAACAAACAAAAACCAAAACAGAAAAAGAAACAAAAGCCCAAACAAAATGTCAGGAAGTTTAAAATGTCACTGTTTTAATGAAAAGGATTATGTTTGCTAAATTTTTATCATTTTTTAACCAGAAGGTAAGAAAGAAGACAAGATCTGCCCTCTGTAGACATTATTGTTGCTGGTAAAGTTATTAGTTCAATGTTGATTTCTTTCACTGATCACTAACAAAGAAAGTTAACTATTGAACAACACAATTAACCTAATTAGCACATTCTAGAAGCCCTGCTTCTGGTTCAGATCCTCATTGCACAACTTCAGCAGAGAATCACAAATTAACAGACTTCCTTTGCAGGACACCGTCCTTTGTGTTCACCTGGAGGACTTGGTTCAGAACACTTTTACATTGCTATGTGATAAGCAGCTTCTGCCTCATCCGTGCATCCAGGTCAGAAACAAAACCCACTGCTCAGGCTGTGGGTGTATTCACTGTGCAATATCATCGTCTTAACGATGGAGACATTGCAGTGCAGTTGAAGGTATCAATTCCCATTTTTTGCATATGACAAAGATGAGAAAAAGACTTGCTCTTTTCCAGAGATTTGTGATTTCCCTACTCAACAAACATGCTTTAGTTCAGTAAAGTATAGCCCCAAAGGAGATGACTAGGTGAAGAACGGTGCTTGCTCTTGTGACTAGCTACAAACTAGACACGCTGTCTTACATTTCCAATGCAGTTGCAGCATGTTGTTCTCTTGTTAGCCTGTGTCTTCTTTGACTGCATGTCATCTGTAAAAAGCTGCAACTTTCTGTGTGTTTGTAAAACCCCCAGCATGACTGGGCCTAGTTTGGCTATGGCTTTAAAGACCTAATGTGTAAATTATTAAATCCCACTGCTCATTGGAAGCTCTTTTTCTTCTCCATGTTGTATTATACAAGACCTGAACAAAGATCTCTCTTGTCAATACAGCTGAATAGTATAAAAATTGCTTATGTATTAAAGCTAAAATAAACAAAATAAAAATAATTAGGTTACAAATAGGAAACTATAATGTTTGACAAAAACAAGTGGTGACTGTAAGTTGCACCAGTAACACATATCTTATAGTATGGCATTACACAGACTTAATTCTGGGAGTATCAAGTAAAAGGCAGAGCCAGGGGTATATGCCCCTTCTTACCGAGCAGTTGTCTCCTGAAATCTGTGTGTGTGACAGAGGAAGGAACAAGAGAATGGTCTGTGGCATTACAGTTGCACACAGCTACATGATCCAGACAGACCATTTTGGAAGACTGGTAGTGATATGTAATACAGTGGTACACACTGGGCAGTACAGCTGTCTATACATTAGTCCTTCCTTCTGCCTCCTGCTCCCAGTGTCAGGTACTCCTGAGGAGTGACTGAGAGACAATTATTGCAGTTATGCACACTGTTTACTTTCAGCAGAAAGGTTTTGGTTTGTCACAAGGCTGTGTCTTGGCACTGCTGCATGTTGAGCTTCTGTCTTCCACATCTGACAGGTACCTTCTCTTCTTGAACGTCTCTGTGGTGCTTCTGTGTTACACTGTGGTAGGTAGTGTTTCATTCATCCTCTGATGTTACTGGATTATTTTCAAATATCTATGTTCTAACACCAGGTCAGGAAATGAACAACTTGTATGTGACAGGTTGTTTTCTGCACACCGTACCTTGGGCTGTCCTCCTCAATTCCTGGGCCAACTGGCACAAGTGTAATCCATATGAAAGCATAACTGATGTGATATTTTTCTGATGGTCAGAATCTGGAATACCAAAAGTAGTATGTGCTGACCATCAGTTGGACACTTCAGTAGGGAGGAATGATGTCCTGTAGCTACTGTTTTGTCTCTGCAAGAGCTTCTTAAATGACAGGCATCACTCTTGTCCGTTTGGTTTTGTCCAGTACACTGCAGCCTTCTGCTTCAGCTCGCTTTTGGTTTTATCACCCATTCTGCCTGAGGATTTGCACGGTAGACATCTAACATGTAAGCATCTGGATCCAAGCAGTGCTGACCTGAAACAGAAATTGACGGCCATGAATCATGGGATGTTATGAGCACACTGGGACAGAGTTTCATTTAAACATCTTCGAATGTTTCTCTGACTAGCGCATAGTAAGCCTGGTTTGGTGTGTCCAGATAACATCTTGCCAGGACACACAGAGGGCTTGTGGTAAATCTGCCAGTAATTTTACTCTGTGGGAGCCATGAATGCACTTTCACTTCCAGGCAAGATGACCTGCATTACATCTAGTTATGGACAGGACATTTACTTAAATGGTGAACAAATATGTTTTTTTAAGAAGTGTTAACAACACTCTTACAGTAGAAGTGCTACATTATGAGGTTTTTTTATTTCTTTGAATTTACTGGGCTGGAATTACAACTCTCTGACTTCGTTGATATCTATTTTTAAGTGCTGAAAAGGTAGCTCTGCAAACAACGTGTTCCCGTCCAGATAGGATCTTGTAAAGAAATACAGGGACTATATGAAGGTTTTAGGCAGTTGTCATTTGGCTGGTTAAAATAAAAAAATAAATACAAAAAGTCCTCCTAAGGCTGTTTCAGGGTTTCATTAGGTGGTGATTGGGAAGTCCCTGCTGCCTTTGCCAGAATGAGGCATTTGGTGCCTCTTAATTGAGTAATAAGGCAATAAATTCTAGAGTTAAGTTGATTTGTTGGACTATATTACATTTATGTGGGGTGATGAAGTCATTTAACTGGTGAGGTTACATTGCTGTGAGGCAAAGGATTATGGTAAAATTTTTGTACAGTTACTTATAAGTTCACTGGGGTCCTAATGATTTTATTCAAGTGAAAGCAATATAAATGAATTAATGCCTAATCAGTGGGCTAAGGTACCCTGAAGTATCTAGAATATAAAAATAATTTTAAATGAAGATGCAAATTAAACATCCTGATTTTCTGAAAGAGCGTGGTGGGAATATTTGGGATTGTTTCACAAGGCCTTTAAGATCTTCTCTTTTAGCATCAATTGGTCATCCTGTTAAGCCAGGCAAAAAGTCACTAATCCAGTTTAGCTTTGTGTGTTGCCAGTAATAAAGACTGCTTCTTGTTTGCTGCTGAAGTGTGATGTTTTGTAATAACTTTACAAAAACTCTTTTGGGGTGAATCAAGAAGAAATAAGGAATAATCTAATCAGATAGTTGACAACAGACTTGAACAGAGCATTCAGGATTTTGGTAAGAATAGAGAAAGAAGAGAGCCAGGATTGTGCAATATCAAATTTTGACCTTCAGGCCAGAAACGTGGGGCAAGCCAGTGTTGTTGTTATTACAAGAAGTGTCACTGCATGAAACACAGAAGAAGATAAAAGCCCTACTGCAAATAATTTGCAATCTAAATAAAGCGTTAGTATAGAACACCCATAGGTATAGGGAGGCGAATTCTCAATTCTGTGTTTTTTATTAGAGGGAGGTTAACACTTGGGTACACTGAAGAAGAAATAGGTCTTGGGAAAAGGCTTGACAACAAGATGGAATGTGCTTGCAAAAGGAAGACTAAGGATCTCTTAACCAAGGAAAAATGCTGAGTTATGAGAAAGGTAAGCAAAAGGTCAGATAAATTTGGCAAGACTGTAAGGGGTGCTCCTGTGGGGTGCCCCTCCAGTCACATTGGAGTTGGAGAAAATCATGGGCATTTGTTTTAACAGCTTTTGGGTCAGGCTCCTTTCCTCTAAACGCACTGGAGAGTAGGAGCGACCCAGCTGTGTCAGAACTGTGCTGCCCTGAGGTGTTTTAGGAGGTTAAGGACGTTCAAAATTAAATTTTTGAAAAATGAGACCTACCTATATTTCCTCCAATTTCATGTAAACTTTGGATCTGGCCCCTCATGTTCTGTGATGATCCACGGCTAGGATGGAAAAACAAACTTTCAGTGTGTATTTTTCTGTTATAACCACTACCTTATCACCCACCATCTGTGGTAAGCAAAAGTGTAGATTACTGCATCACAGTTAACTAAACCTTCTATATTATTTATTTTATGTTATATTCACTCAAAGAACAAAATTATGTGGCAACATGGGAAGACTACAGAAAAGACTTTCAGATACAATTTACCGTTTCCCATAATTGTTAATAGTTATTACCTTACAGAAATAAAATCATTGAAGACTTATGGACAGATGTAAGACAATTCTTTTGGGTTCTCTATGCAGCAAGTTTATAAAATATATGTTTAATGTACATTTTTAGTGGTGGTGTAAAAGAGGACAGATTGATTCTATATAGGAACTAATTATTAAGTAAAATTAAAAAAAATCAGATTAAAATTTATCTGACCAACATAACCATAAATTAGCAATTTTAAATTAGAAAAAGAGTTCTTGTAACACAATGAATCTCTGAAAAGGGAACAATCCATTTATAGTTCTGACATTGTTGTTCAGGAAAAACAGAATGTTCTGCTTTACCCACCTGTTTTCACAGTGGAATCGAGCCAGGATGTCTTTGGCTTTTGTTTGGCTGTTGAGTTGAATTGCCATAGAGACTTTTGAATGCAGTGGAGCATACACTCTTATCACCCCCTCGGGTATGTCAGACTGCAGGTATGGGGGAAAAGTGACAGCTCCCTAAAATCAATATTCAATAGCATAAGTCTAAGGCAAATATTTCAGAAGCAGTTCTGCAACTCTTTTGAAGTTGCTTGCAAAAATCAGTGTCCTGCACTCACTTGATTATTCAAAAAACATATTTACAGTCATACAAATGCAAATTTGTAGACACAGTATAATGAGATGCAACACAAAGGCCCAAAATCCTTGGTAAGTATCACATAAACACATACAGAGTAAAGCCTTTGAATTTTAAGTTATTTCTGTTAGCATTGTTCAGTGAGCCAACAGCTTATGTAAAAACATATAAAAATTATTAGGAATATCTGTTCTTCCTTCTAAAGAGGAAATTCTCCTGAGGCATAAAAATTCAGTTCTCTGTTTCCACTTCCTATAGCTTCAACTAGACTGAAGTGTGTGTACAGTAAAATATCAAAGTACCATATGGTTTCTGTTAATTTGAAATTTGACCTTGTGTAGGGTTCAAACTATCATCTATGATGCTTATGCTCTCTTCCATGATTAATGGTGGATAAATCAATTAGCAAGGTTTGCATTCCAGTTCTAATCCAGTTAATACCATGCTGAGCAGAACACAATAGTCTCTCCAGTCTCTGTCTCTGTGTAATTTAGAACATCTGAGACCTGGGGATTGTGTTAAGTGCTCTCAAAATTCAACTCAGTTATCCAAACAGAGTTTGCCTCCAATTTACCCTTCATATTTCAGCTACCTGCCACAGCTACCCTCGTTTTTATTAGATGTAAAGCCAATTACTACGATCAATGGACTTGTCTTCCTGAAGGTGCAATGACCGCAGTAATTGACTCTCCTCGGAGAGAGAGCCTTTCTGTGTTTGTTCCAGGCTGAATACAAGTTTGCAACACAAAGTAATCTACATGACCAATTGAAACAAACTTCTCTGTCTCCATTTGCAGCACCAGTATGTCTCCTACCCACAAATATATATTGGTCGATGCTGGCAAATAGATTCTCCAGAAAGCTGAATTAGCATGGACTCACAATTCATACATTACATTTATTTTTCTACTTTTTTTCCCATACATTCCCTTCTGCATTTTCTCTGTTGTCTGCACTAGGCTGCTCATTCTCTATTTTTTATAATCTCTTAATATCACTCCTTCCTCATTTGTCTTTTCTTTTTTCTTAAAGACTGTTCTTAAGTAACTATAGAGTCCTTAACCATTTCCTTAATTACTTCTCCTACAATTCACCAATTTTCATTCTTTTAAACATCCATGGAGGACTCTAAAGACTTTCTCTGCAGGTTATTAATGGTAGTTACTACATGAAAATACTAAATATAAGCTGCTATAGTGACTGTATATGTTGTGCATGTAGACACAACATTCTTTATTGCCCAAACTGTATGTTGCACCTAATATATAAGTAAGTTATTTTAGTTAACTATCAAAGCAGCATACCTCAAATAACCTCTTAATCTCCTTATTTAGGCAATGGAGAAAAGTTGGTGGCTTTAAGATCTCCAAAGAAAGAATCTATCAGATCTTTCTGATTTTCTATCAGATTTTCCTAAGTTGGAACTGCACCTGGAACCCTGGAAATCCTCAAAAGTACCGACCTCTCCCCTCTGACTATACAGGGAATAACAACACAAACTACTTCACTGGGCACTTAACCTTTAGACCCAATTTAGGTCCCTATGGCAGGCAAACTTTGAAAACTATCTTTTTATCACACCTCTGGTCTTTCAGGTCTCTCCCGTTCCATGGTCTTTCTCCTTAGAAGTTTTCTCACTCCTTTGTCAAACATCAGCTGCCTCTTGCTGTTGTTCATCGCTGCCTCATTCATTTTTCTCACTTGGGAAATCAGGAAAGATGGGACCTAAAGGGAAGAAACCAGAATATAAGAATATATAGTCATTTCCTCCCCAACACTGCTGTTAGATCTCTTGAAAGGCATCAAATTTTAGGCAACAGAAACTCTATTTATTCCTAGAAGATACACGCAAATCGTAGCTCTCTCCAGCAGCCTACCATTATTCCTTCAGTGACACTCTAGATCTTCTTTCATGCCATATGAAACCCTTAGGGATGCTTAAAGTTGCAGGAACTTCATTAGGAAGTAGTCTTTGCAATCCTCCTCATACCCTCATTTTTGAGGAAACAAACTGAGACTGTCAAAATCTTCAAGCCAACCTTCAGCAGCCCAACAAGTAGTACACACTTTTGGTCTCATATTGCCATGGGCTAGACTTTAAACAGACATTTAATCTCATTCAAATTTACACATATCACCTAGACATCTAGATTAAATCACTCTCTTATGCATTATTCTATGTAAACAATGGTGTGGGACAGGGTAATTCATGCTAAAATAGATGACTTAGGTAAGTGAGGTAACTCTCAATCCACAGATATCTGTCACCCTATCTCATTCTGGACGTAGAAGACTTCAGCCAGTTTTCGAAGAATAGCCAGCTGTTTCTTCTTGGAAGGTCAGTTTACCCTGATTTCTGCAGAGCTATTGCATATAGCAAAATACTGGCCTGTATTGGAGCCCTAGAGAGGGAACCAACATTACTCACTGTCCACAGGATGTCCTGGTACCGAATTAAAAGCCGCACGATGTGTGCTGTGGTGGCAGCTGCTTGCATTTCTTGTTGGTTTGCACGTTTCCCTTTGTAGATGAAGAGGTTTGGTGCAACAATCATAGAAACATTCCACAAATTCATCTTGTTTTTTGCTTCATTAGCAACCACCTTCTTCAGGAACTGAAGAAAGGCCTGGAAAAAAACCCCACTTGTTATGTTGAGTCTCATGAAATAATTTGCTTCTGAAATGCAACACTTTCAATTGCACAGCATGTCAGGCTCAAAAGCTGCTATAATTGCACTTAAAGGTGAAATTTAGGGGTTTTTTGTGTTTTAATTTGGATTATTCTATTTGGTACAACCACCTGTGTCAATCAAAGAGGAACAGTTAATGCTATCTAAATACACATTAATAAATTATCTATCACTTAGAGCATAATCCCAAATTTGCAAGTTAAGTACAGTGTCTACACTAAGGCACTGAATCCTATAGTGGAGGAAAGATGTACAGGTATTGCAAGGGAATAGTTACTTTCTTCATAGATTTCCAAGTGTCCATTTTGATGTGTCTGACCAATGCTTTTTATATCAACATCACCAGGGTGATCAGTCTTTCTTCAAATGTGCACCAGTCCCAAACGTGATTTGAAATATTTCTGCCAGCTACCCCCAAACTTTTATTTTGGGATAATGAAAACAAGAAGAGCTCTGTTGTCATTCACTGATGTTACTTCTGCACATGCACGGCAGAGTCCAAGCAAACTCATTTCCCTTTTGGGTAGTTTATTCAGAATTTTGCTTGAGTGACTGAATAGGATGGATTGCAGCTGTGGTTAGAGCTGGGGTCTACCAATGAGCCCTTTGCAACACTGTTACGGTTTCAGCTGGGATAGAGTTAATTTTCTTCCTAGTATCCTTTCTATCCTAGTGCTGTGTTTTGGATTCAGGATAAGAATAATGTTGATAACACACTGATGTTTCAGTTGCTACTAAGCAATGTTTACACTTAGTCAAGTGTATCTTTAGTTTCTCAGGCTGCCCTGCCAGTGAGGAGCTTGGGGATGCACAAGAACCTGGGAGGGGCCACAGCCAGAAGAGCTGATTCCCACTGACAAAAGGGATATTCTACACTGTATGGCATCATGCTCAGTATAGAAATGTGAGAAAACTGGTCTGGACTGCTGCTCAGGGACTGGCAGGGCATCAGTGATGAACACTGGTGATCAGTGGTGAACAACTGCATTGTGCATCACTTGTTTTGTATATTCTAATTATTTTATGATTATTATTTTCCCTTTCTTTTCTGTCCTATTAAACCGTTTTTATCTCAACCCATGAATTTTATTTTTTTTTCAATTTTTCTAATCCATCCCACTGGGCGGGGGAAGAAGTGAAGGAATGGCTGTGTGGTGGTGTGCTGGTTTTGGCTGAGGTAATTTTCTTCACAGTGGCCAGTATGTTTTGGATTTGTGCGGAACAGTGCTGATAATACAGAGATGTTTTTGTTATTGCTGAGCAGTGTTTACACAGAGCCAAGGCCTTTTCTACTTTTTTGTATGCCATGCTGGTGAGGAGGCTGCGGGAGCATGAGAAGCTGGGAGGAGACAAAGTCAGGACAGGTGACTACAACTAACCAAAGGAATGTTCCATACCATATGACATCATGTTCAGTGTATAAAGCTGGGAGGAAGAAGAAGGAGGGAGGGGATTTTTGGAACGATGGCATTTGTCTTTCCAAGTAACCGCTGTGCATGATGGGGCCCTGCTCTCATGGAGATGGCTGAACAAAACTTCCTGACATTGCAATTAAAACATTTTTACAAACCCAAGAATTACAAAATAGTAACTGCGTTGGAAAAAATTTCTAGAATCTCATCATATATAGCAAGTAGAGATACATAGAGAGTTTTGCCATCACTTCCATTTTTGTAAAAAAGCCTAGTAATAATTAAGACTACTCCTCTAGCATGTGTTTTCCATATGCAGTTCTATATCAAAATGAACTTTGGTAGCAGAAAAAAATTCTTTACAGAGCACTAGTAGAAGATCTTCAGATGCTTTAAAGAGGGTTGTTCCTGTCCATTACTGTATACATAAAGACAGGTAAAGAAGGAACCTGAACTGATAAAGTTATACGTAAACTGACTAATGCAAGACTTTCAGAGGTGGGGGACCTGCATGGTCCTGATGAAATGTCTGGGAGCTTCCAGGCAGCTTGTTGCCTTAGGTTTCCTTTATGTAGAACCAAGCCTGAAAATGCAAGCAATGTCCCCTAGGGTCGGGACATAGTTGCAGTCAGATTTGAGAGCTCCCAAACACCCAAAATGCTTGTAGCCACCGTGTCTGTATCAGGAAGTAGTACATGCGAGCGGGCATGGGTTTGTAAGGCCAGCCAACTGAGGATGAGATCCTGATATTTGTGCTACAGATACATGTTTTAACTTTGGATTATTTCATCTGGTCCAGTGCCCCAGAAGCCCTTCAATACTGGGAGTGGAGTAGGCAAGCTCCTTGAGGGCAGCTTCTCATTTTCATTCATCCTGGAGAATTTCATTTATACAGAAAACCCAGAAACTGGACTTTCTTTCTCCAAACTATGTGAACTATGTGAGGAACATGCTTATTTGAAATGGATGCCCCAGAAAAAACGATGTCTGAGACCCAGCAGTTGGATACCTCCAGCAACTGTTTCTTAATTGCTTGTAAAAGAAATGACAACCTGGGAATTTGAACATCTTTTCAAGGAGATAACAAAAAACACAGATGAATACTTTCATGGTAAATCCTCTGAAAAAAAAAGTCTCTCATTTAAAAGTCAAAAGCACCACAGATGGCAGGTGATAGCAAACAAAGAACTTACCTTGGCTGTATCTCTGTTGGCTTCAGGCAGCAGCATGATCAACAGATGCAAAGCTTGTAGCTGTAACTTGATCTTGGAGATTTCTAAGGATATGAATAATTAATATTTTTGAAATCCCAGTTGCAATTGGTTTGTGTAAAAACCTTGTGTGTCAGCAGTTCTAGAAATAACAACTACTGCCCGGTTGAGACTAGCATGTTTAGGTGTTGTTTAGGTGTTGATTTTATATTTTTCAAATATAAAATCAATTTAATGAGTGGAGGTTTCCTCATCACCTTGGATCTTTGTCACATGGGGAGACAAGGCTCTATAAAATTCTGTCTACATAGTAACAAGCCAATATTTTTCAGTACTAGCTAGTTTTTCTTAGATATCTGGGTATTTTTTGTAGGGAATAAAATAATTTCATTCTGCACAGATGCCTCCTGTTCATTCTTCTCCAAACTGCTAAGCCATTGTAACTGCATGCAGTCCAGGACTTTCAAGGAGCACACTCAGGTATGTGAAGGTTATAGGAAAAGGTCAGCTCCTTCTGCCCCTTAAACTACCTAATGGAGACACTAAAAACTTGGCTTGAAACCTTACAGTTTTCTGTACCAATTTGCCTAATTAATTCATCATCCTGAGAGTTTCACTCTGTCCTAGCTCAAGTGACTTTAAAGTGAAGTCATAGGTATGGCAAGGTACAACTGCATTCTTCGTGGAAGAGAAATGAACAAAATGTACTGAGAATGAGAGAGCGTACGTACACTGAAAACAAAACCTGACTGCCTGCAGCTTTCTGAGATCACACATATCTCTGTACCAATATTCTGACCTCAGCATAAACCTTAAGTGACATAAAATAGATCCAAGAGAATATCAGCTAAAGAGCTGATTTTGTGTTTACCTTGCAGAAATTTTCATTTGTGAAACTTGTAACTGGTGTGAATCATAGTCTATATATGAAAGTAATTGCTCAGCCATTGTTTACTCATAGGTTCCAAATTTTACATTGAACAGTTGTGTTATTCATTCAACATACTTATGCTATTAGCTAAATGCAAACACTTTTTTCTATTTGTAAATGAAATCTTGCAGAAAATTCAAATGTTTAGGCAATGCACTGGGCCTGTTTTTCTCGCACTGGGCCTATTTTTCTACTTCAGAGAGAAAGAAAAATTACATTTTTTTTCCTCTATACTTCAGAAAGAGAAAAAAATGTAAGGTCTACTCTTCCATTTTATCTAGATCAGTCCGTATTAACTCCATTTCCACATACTTTCCACTAGTGTGATGAAAGCAGGCAGATATTCTACTGTGAAGAGTGGGCTTGGGAGTTCTCTTATAAACATTTTCAGCAGTCCCGCTGCATCATTATTTCGTACTTGGTCCCAGTCAAAAGTGTCTTCGTAAAATTTCGCCTCAAGTTCTTGATGGAGATTCTGAAAGATAAAAGAAACGTTTGGCCTTTAATCATTGTTGCTGACCCAGCCGTTTGCCATAATTTCAGAAGTCCCATTACAAACAGAACGCAGCACTTGAACTAAAGTAGCCCTAAACCAGTGGCAGTCTTACACCCACGTGGAGTTCAGAGCAGGTTAGCAAATCAAGTTCCTGGGGGTATTTGGCAACCCAGGTTAAATTTGGTTTGCTGTTGCTAGATTTCTGCCAGTGACCCCTCTGAACCATCTTAAAGCAAGACAGTGTTGTGCAATGTCTTGGAACTAGAAACAGAAAACTCAGTTAACCGGGATCTTTTCAACACAGCTGTTCTTTTTGTTTAAAACACTCTCCAGAGGTTCTGACCCTTACATCCCAAAGGAGTGGTGTTTCTTCCTCACTGCTAGTGAACTTGCTAGATAGACCGTTGGCATCTGAATTCATGCACCTTTAGCAAATGGCTTTAACTTTGGGTCTTCCTATCTTTAGAAGGAAGTTTTATGTTAGAATAATTATAGTTAGATTTGGTCAAAATGCAGGAAAATAAAGGTATCAAACTATTACTGTCAGAAAAATCTCCTCTTAATGCATAACCCTCCCTAATCCCCAAAACTCAGAAAACACAAGAGAGGTCTAAGAAGTGATGATTACACCATTTTGGGTGCTCATCTAATCCTCTTGTTCTAATATGTAAGCTGCATAATAGATGTCTGTTTAGTTCTAGGGTGTCACGAATCAGTGTTCAACACATGTGTGAATGGGAAATAATCAGCAAGGTTCCTAGTAGGAACAGAGTTTGGCTTCAAATCCAAATGACTGTTTAGAAAATGCAAGCTCTTAAAAAATTGTTAAAATGATTGAAAGATGCTATTGTAATATAAGAATATCCATAAATAATACAGCTTTCACAGTTATTACTGGCCAAACACTGTCTTATCCATAGGAAGTTGGTTGCTGCTTTTTATGAGACCCTTTATGACAAAATATATCCGTAGCAAATATTCAGGTTTCAGATCATGTTTTTGTCAAACGTCCTTTAACATTATGCAAAAAGTTTAGTCTGTTTCAGCAGAAAAGCTTTTAAAAATGAATTCTGTTTACCACGTCTCACATGAATGGAAGGAAATTACATATCAAATACAGTCACACATAATGAAGTAGAATTGTTGCATAAAAGGAAGTAGAAAGTCATTCAGGATTTGGCATATAATGTTACAGTCTCATTTTTATTAGCACATTTAACTGGTTGTAATCTGGGCTATCTCAGCTTCCTCTGTATTCACATCCTTTGCACATGATCCATACAAACATCTAGACTAAATTCTCTCCTGGAAACTGACTGGGAAATGTGGAAGAGAAATCCTCACCTCATCAAAAGCACAAGAGAACAGATATCTACTCCACATTTTTCTGCTTAGAACTGGGAAAAAGCCACAGAAAGAGAAAGCAAGATTTTCGAAACACAAACATTGTATATATATATATATATCTGTATGTATGTGTGTATATATATATATATATATCTGTATGTATGTGTGTATATATATATATATATATATGTATGTGTATGCATATGTATATACATATATATATATATCTCCACACAGGTAAGAATATATTTTATACACCCTATTCCCTCTACCACCCCATATATATATATATATATGTATGTATCTAAGTACTTTTAAAATATGTGTTTGCAGGTTTTTTTAAACATGATTGACCCTACACTAGACCACCATACATTTTTGGTTCACTGGAACTTTTGTTACAAACCAGATTACAGAGGAAAACTTGTATTTATTTCTTTATTCTTTGTTTTATAGAAGAGTAACCTTTAATCACTCCCATATGCCTTTTCTTTCTCCAAACAAGACTGAAATAAAGTTGGAATGCCCTCAAATCCTAATGTCATAATAATGTATGAAGGCTTTGAAGGATGAAATCTGGATCTGCTTTGAAATCCCTCTTGCTCGTTGGCTTGTTGGACAGATTTAAATGAAACCAAAACTCAAATAATTTAAAACTTTCATACAGGCAGTTTAATTTACCACCCAGTATAAGAGAGTTACATATAAAGTCATACCTTATAGCAGCTCCCTGGATATGGGTTGTGAATAAGAATTGAACAATATGCAGTACAGCGTACACAAATAATATGAAAATAATTGAATTAGAGCACAGCCCTGCTGTGTAATCTCCCTGAAGAGGTTGATAAGATTTGAGATTGTGTGAAATAACATTTAAGCATTCATATGAAAAAAAGAGGAAGCTGAGAAGTACAGGCCAAATTAGGAACTTCCATCTGCAAGAGGAGGCACTTTTCAAGGCACTGGGTACTTTTATCGATCCATAAAGTCAAAAGAGCTGGGATACTACTGTCTATCGTTGGTGCGTTTCACATAATGTTGCTTTTCCATGTACAGTAATTTTTTCTGATTCCCAGCCCACGCCAGTTTAGCAGTCCCCAAAATTTGTGTGGCTGCCACAGTGTTGAGACTTCCTGCCTCAGAAAATAAGGCTAACTTTCTTGAGGACAAGAAAGTGGGAGTAGAATGCACTATAAGGTGTTGCTTAAATCAGACCAAAAAAAGGCAAAAATGTGGGAATGAGGTAGACAATACTAAGCCCAGAAAAAAACACCAACCCAACAAAACCCACCATGTTTTCCTAATTTGCCTGTGCCATCTCCCAGAATCAAATTAGTCTGGAGAAACAATAGCAAGCATTACTGCCCCACAATGTCAGGTGATTCACTACCAACTATCCTGTGTTCACAGCCTGAAAACAGCCTGTAAAAATGCAGTGAACACAGGCCAAATTTCTCTCAGTTGGAACATGAAATTGTAAGATCACAGAAGATAAATGAGAAATAAAATGCCACAGAGGTTAAAATGACATGGAATAAGATCTTTATCTGATGTTTACTCGATTTAGCAACTCTGGATTTCTGAAATAAATTAAAACAGAGATAAGATCATAGCAATTTTGGACGATAGAGATAAACTGAAAGGATCCCTCAATGTTTCATGGAGAAAAACTGCATTCAACATCAAGACTGTGCTTTATATAGAACATCAACTAAAGCAAAGCAATAGACTACATGTTCTGTGCTTCACTGGTTCCCAGGAACCAATCTGACCTTTCACTGGTAGGCGAAAGAGCTGCACAGATCAGTGTTTATGTGCAGTGTGAAATAATGTGTGTGATGTATTTTTTTACATAGAGTTTACAGTCCAGAAGATGGAAAATTGGCAAGAGTGTGTACCTTGACTCTGGAGGCAGATCCAGGAACTCGTAGAATTCCTTCAGTTTCCAAACCTGTTTCCTCAAGCTTGAGCAGCAACTGAAAGACAACAAAAGACTCAGAAAGGAAAATAATCAGAAGCACTTAAGACTACTATTGACTTTTTTTTCAGTCTTGGTATCCTTGAAAATAATTTGAAAAATATATATTTCTATGAAATCTGGTCATGAAAAGATGCCAGCTCATGTAAATAAACCTGCCTAATTTGTTCTCCCTATTCCTGACCCTGAAATAAGGAGTATGCAGAGTACAGAAAACTGCTACTGTAATAGGCCTCTTCTGTACTAAACTTGAAAGTTGGCTCTGCTATAGAACAATTAACACATAAATGTATTAATAAAAGGCAGATACAGTGGGTAAAACACAATGGTGTATTGAAGGAAAAAAATAACCTCTGAGAAATGTTAAAATATGCCCCAAGGATCACAATGGAAAGGTCCACAGATAACATGATTTTGGGAACTGAAAAATCAGATTAGAAAATGATCCCAGGATATTTTATTTTGAAAGTTCTGTGAATAGAGGAATAAGTTTTCCATTCTAATTATCTATTAAAATAATTTGACATAATTTTGAACATTGGAAAAAAAAATTAATTTCCTAGCCTTTAATAATACAGATCTGGATTTTCACCACCAGATCTGCTTCCTGCACTAACCTGGATTCTTCTAATTTCCCATGGTATCTTGACAGGGGAGCTGTGGAGCTAAATGCAAAGTCATGTAAATATTCAAGTTGTGTTGGTGTTTCCCCTGACACTCCACACCACTTTCCCTTTTGTCAGTATTTACAGGGAAATTTATTGTAGTTCTGAGTCCGTGTGAATCTGTGTAATTGCACATGTACTTGTGCCTGTGTACCTGTCTCCAAGACATCCACCAGATGTCATTGTACTGCCAAATGGCTCATATAACTGTTGTTGTCTTGTCATACAAACCTTAGTGAGAAGCTATCACTTCTATTCTGGAAACAGTAGCTAAGTAATACATACAGTTTCAACTAATGTGAAATTAAAGCTCCTGAGAAAACTCATGACTGCCATTTCTGTACATACAAAACTTTGCATGGCTCTCTAGTTCAATGAAAAAGGGAAACAGAAAGACATTTGTTTCCTAGAGTTTCCTATGTGGTTTCATATAATTACAAAAATAAAATGAGGTCCCCACGACAGATAAAACACACAAAAGGAGTAAATTTTGTCTCCTTGTCAAGAGGTTTTCAAACCACAATATACAGTCAGGCAACCTGGACACACACACATCTGTAAAGCCTGCATCTTCTCTTATCTGATGACTCATTTCAGTGTCAATGCAAATGATGGAGAAGCAAAGCTTACTGGCCAAGCAGGATGAGTTATACTCACTTTTTGGAAGATGAGGGGAACTTTTATTCCGGGAACCTTCTTTTGATCATTCTCCAGCAGGACGGTGAGAGGTACTCCGAAAAGACCATTCTCTAAAAGTAATAACAACAAATGTGAAAAAGAGTAAACACAGCCTCGTATGCACCCTCTTTGCAACGCTGAACGACACTTAAGTGGCTGCAAAGGGGATGGCACAGCACAGTACCTCGTCCCCGCACTCTCTCTGCACGGTTCCTCTTCAGTTCCACCCCCAGCGCATCGTAGAAGGCTGTTAGCTCAATCAAGGAGAGGTAGCGGATCTTCTTCATGTCTTCAGGGGAGAGGTCTCCAACCTCTGTCAGTCCAAACCGGCTTTTCCGAACAATGAATTTCTACAGTAGAGATGGGTCGCATCTTTATTTGCACAAAAATTACAGGGAGTGAATTTTTGTTTTGAAGGAGGTGCCCATATGTGATAGGAAGTCAGATTAGGGTAGATGGATAACAAAAAAAAGATGAACTATAGCCCTATATATTGGCCTGGTATGAGTACACCGTTTGCATCCACCTGAACATAAAATTGAGCTTCTTACTCGCCAGGTTCCCTTGCAGTTTGGCTGTGAAGTGGTGCTGGAGCACCTCTGTGCCTGTACTGCAGCTAGGGCAAATGAGTTACGTACTACTTCTTGTAAACTTTTGCCCTGTTTCAGCAGGACGTAACATTCTGCTCTGCTTCTGCTTTCCCCAAAATGTCTTGAATGCTGTTGAAGCAGCTGACATAGTTCATCATGGATATGGTTGTGTATCAATCGTGTGTGTAATAAATCCATGCCTGTTTTGCATAATGCTATTAATTTATGAGGTCTAGTAGAAGAGTTCAAACTAAAGACCTGAGGAAAAGCCCAGAAGCAAAATTACTGAGTCCTGATGCCAACCTGCCAATTTACTGGTATTTTTTATTACTTAAGAAGCATTTAGGCTTAAAAACAGGACTCCCAGCAGCTCAGAAATAATTTATTCAAGTAGACTTGAACTAAGTGATACTGAGGAATTTAGGGGCATGTGAAGATGTCTACATGTTTTAGAAACTACAGTGTCATGGACCAGAGCCAGGATTATTGCCTCATGACAGACACATTTGTACAAATGTCAAAGAAAACAAATACCCATCGGTTTCTGACATAATTGTTAGATATAATAACCAAGTTACAGTAAAAAACCATGCTTTTCAAAGATCTTTGGTATTGCATGACTTTTTAATTTAATTGTACTTCAAAAAAATATTAGTCAGAGGTATAAACAAATAGTATTACAAATTATCTCCTCCCTTTAGGGATCTGAGAGGAAACCCAGCCTTTAATAATGTTTTGCTTCTGGAGATTTCAGCCCAGTCCTTCCTTTTTTAAAACAAATTTGGATTCCGTAGGTTTAAACCATCTTTAAATTAAGCCAGTCAAACTGATTAGGAAAAAGGCAAACAAAAAAAAAAATTTAAACATATACCAGATTTCAAAACAAGAGAGCACAAAGGACATCTAGATATGTAGTTTAGGACTTCCTAAATTATATTGCACATGGTCAATAGGGGTTAATAATAATTGGGGCAGAAAGAGTGCAGGGAATAGAATAAATAATGAACATGCTGTCTGGAGCATTTTAGCCCAGAATATTCCTTCCTTAAAATGGAGCAATTCCACAATTCCCTTTTGCTGAGACTTAATAATGTAACAAAAGTTGCATGCAGGATAGTCTTCTGAAAACACATGAAATACTAAAGAATATCTATGCATTTTGGTTCAAGTGATGCAAGAAGTCCAAAAGCAGTCAAAGCACAATAAATCACCTTGAAAATAAGGAAAAAAAAAATCAGAGAGTACACATATATTTTCTGAGGGAAAGTGAAAAGGTATGTTTGCCCATGAAAAATTGCCAGACACTCAAAACTGATTACAAAGGGTGCTATAATGATTTTCCGTGGTGGTTGTTTGACTCATAGGGTCACTATGATGTGATGCCATGGTTAGCACAAGGTTTGGGGCTGGGCCTCTTTCTTCTGTCTTGTGCCACAGTTTTCCAGTGGTCTTTCTTACCAACAGTGCTGTCAAAATATGCAGCACTGAAGGAGGATGTGCCATCCTGAAATTTAGTTCCTTATGTTTTGGCTAAGGAGCATGTCTGATATATTTTGGGATGTTGTTTCTATGTGGAACTATGCAGTGTATTCAGATGGGCCTGAAATGCTTATTGACTTGTAGCTCTGTAATATCTTTCACTAAGTCACATGGATTATGGACCCACGCTGGGGAAACTGCATGTAACACTATGCAGCCAGCGTTGTTGAGGTGGCAGTTCTGGGAGCTGTGGAGGACATGCTATTTTATGACATACAATATCTCTGTGCAGCTCTGTATACACTGTCCATGAAGTTGGTTATGCTGCCAGACCTGCACTGGAGAAAGTATGATGTTGCACAGTCTTCAGTCTAGCCCCATTGGTCCCTCATGGGGAAGGAGGGACAGTCCTCCAGAGCGTAGGTGGCTGGTTGCTTGGTATAACAGAGCAAGAGGTAATTTTTCTGCTGAGGTCCATTACAGTCTGAGTCATTATGGGAAAAAAACAAATACCATGACTGACAGCAGATGAAGTAAGGGGAATGCCAACACCAACAGCTATGACTATTGACTTTATTCAGAAATCTCTGTCTGTAATGTCCTTTCTTATTTCTTGTGTACTCATGAACTCACAAGATGATGTCCTGTATGCAGAGCAGTTCAACTCCAGCCCAAGACTGGCGTTTTCTAAAATAATCAATCATGAATCCACAGATCCATGATATTCAAAGTGGCATCTTCTCTTCACTCCTTGTCAGCAGTTTCCCTCCTCAGTCAGCTGCAAATTCTCTTGAGCTCTTGCAGCAAACAATTTGTGTCTGTGTGTGTTGTAGTAAAGGCCAAAATCATAATGAATGCAGAAATACCCTCACTCTCCACAGGACACCAAGTTATCCCCCCTAAAAAAAGCCCAAAACAACCAAAGACACAATAAAACACAGGGACTTCACACAAGTTGTGTAATCCACTTGGTGTCTTATCTTTCAACAAGGAAGCTTACTTCTGCATCTCAGCTTCTTCTTCTTTGGTAGAGTCTGAGATGGACAAATGAATGCCTGTGTGGATTATAACAGCTTCAGATTAGTTCAGGACCTCAGGACATCATGACAGTCCAGGAAATGCTTCCAAATAATTTACTGCTGACATCATACATGTCACTAAAAAGGTGGCATTTAAATCACTAAACTAATGATTTCAATCACTAAACTAGAGATGGACTTTGTGAGGGCTGATGGAAGTAGAAAATAGATTTCCTTGACTTCATGAAATAATTCCAGATAATGACAAAACTGCTCAGTGTATGTCTGGTTGGATGATATGGTAAATTCTTCTTTAACCATTCATATAGTATTTTCTATAGCACTGAATACTGATTGGAGACAGCCAGTACTGCTGCAGGACTAAGGTTTGCTTTCCTCCCTTCATCTACGGAGCAATTTTAAATCCATGGGTTAATAAAGGCACATAATCTGTGGGGGAATAAAGTGGGAAAGCAGACTAGTAATGAAAATGATTGTTAGTTTTCATGCCAGTAAGTGGTTTTTATTTCTGTATGAAAAAATTGGGGATGATGCAGTATTTCTGGACTGAGTTACACGTATTCATCTGTGATGGGTACAAGCAAAGACCTGGCTTGGATATCCATATCAACTTTGGTGCCTCTCTGGGAGTCAATGACAGGCAGTAGGCAGGCACAGCAGGCAGTCTGTACAAAGCACACATCTAAAAGGAAAGCTCATGTATCTGAACAGACTCCAACATGCTAGGATATAAAGCAGGAAATTGCTGTGTTAAAGACAATAATCAAGGAAATATGTTGAGAGCAAACTTACAGGCAAAGCTGAGTCTTCTTTTTTGAACCTCTGATTCTTTGGCCACTCTTGTGTTTTTGGAAGGACTGTAATGGATTCTGAGAAAGAGACCTCATAAGAGAGCTCTTCTGTTATGGATGGGCTGCCTTTATCTAGTCCGCAGTCTAGACAGCTATTAGCTGAAAATAAGGGAAATTATATATGAATCCTGAATATGCTTGCATTTAGTACAGAGACATTAAAAAATTAAACCAAGATGACAAAAATCTTGAGACAGTAATAAAGGAAGTGCTTCAAAGAGGAGTTTCAGTGCAAACCACAGCATGTTCCTGTTTTGTCTGGAGGAAGTAACCCCTTAGAAATAAAATCCCTATTTTCATTTTAGATTATTTAACTTGTTGCTTTTTGTGAGAAAGATAGTCAAGCTGGAACTTCCTGTTTATCAGGAATTCCAAAGTTTTTGTACTCTGTCCTTGTCCACCCAAGCCAGCAAACTGTGGTGGCACTTGTCTAATGAACAATTAAAAATAAAAGGTCTTGACAGAAAAATGCTGTCAGCACAGTTTCTCAGGTTACTGATGACTTATTTATAATCATAAGACATTGTGCATATACTTTATGTAGTCACATATATTTCTCACAGTTGCTAGTTTAGTTGTATAGCACCAAAACAGGACACAATGTAGAATATTCCAGTTTGAAAAACACTATATCTACTGGCATTTAAGGTAGATATTGTGAACTAACTTATTGCTCTTTAGTGACCTCCTGAAATTAGTGGATGCCAGAGGAAAATTTTTGAAATCAGTACAATCAAGTTTAGTAGTACAGCTATTGTCATGGAATCCAAAGTGTGATAACACACATGAGTTCCAGTGTTGCCAACTTTCATGACAGATCTCTCATATCTCAGGTCCATTTTTAGTTTGCCCTTAAGGTCCAGCTCCTAGACCTACCCAATTGGAATATAATCATAAATTTAACTGAAAGTCAAGTAAAATTTCATCCCCCAGGACTGCAGAGAAGAATTTACTAACATGACCCAAATGTATTCAAAAGCCATGGAAATGTTTTTTAAAAAGTGAATTAAAAAGTGAAATTAAAGTGAATTTAAAAATTCAGTGAATTAAAAAACATTACATATTTTATAAACCTGTGCATGCCCCATGTTTTTTGAATCATTGCATTTACAGATACAGGGACTTAAATATTTTTTTGCAACACTCTGTGTTTTGCAAGTCTGATATGAAAAAAAGCTAAGTGTGTTACTGAGTGGCTTCTGGTTTCTGAACTGTGGATTTAGATTTTATCCAGTAGCCAACCCCTTTTAAGATGTTTTCCATCTCTCTTTCCATCCTTGGACCTGGGACCACAGACTGTCTTTGGTAGCCCTGGGCATCTGGTTCCCCATCTGTTCCAGTACAACTGCTTGAAGAGCAGGAGTATCAGGAGAGCAGCTTTTGCCACCAAGGAAAGTACCTGTGGCACTATATCCAGAGGTAAACATCCAAGGGACTAGTTTAGTAACTTGGGTATTAGTATCCATTTAGTTAAGCTCTGAACAATGCTAATGGGAAAAGCTTTCAAAACAAAAGATGGAGTTTCTCATGGAAGGCTGCTGACACTTATCCAGACACTGAGTAGTTTTCATTAGCAGGGCCAGCCGCTGTCAGGACAAAGCATTTAAGGGATAATACCATTAGTAGATTGGAATAATAAGGCAGAACCAGGGAAATGATACATTTCTAATACTGCAGTTTCTGCAGTACCAGAGAAATGTGGAGGAAATAGGCATCTTTCTTGTCATAATACGCAAAAATACACTGATGACATATTTTAGACAAATTCTGCAAAATATTGTTTAGTGATTATTTTTACAATCCCAGTCTTGCAATGATCAGTATTTTTCAGATGCTGTTGCCTCGAGGGCAGCAGTCTGTGTCTGTACAACAATGGTCACTCATAGGAAACTTTGGGTCCTGCATGACAATAAGCTGACAATGATTTTAAGGAAATATATGCAGCATTGCCCCAATATGAAAGAGAGGACTAACCCCTTAACAACAAAAGGGTCTTTCTGTCTATTATTTTTCCAGGAGAAAGTGAACACTGATTACATGTCATACTCACAGGTAACTGATTTCCAAACTGGCTTTTGCCCAGAGAGCTGGATACCATTAGAAGGAACTGGTGGCACTGGAACGGTCTCAAACGTGAGCTGATAAGCAAGGAAAAATGATCATACTGCAGTGAAGGTAAAAGTCAGTGGACAGAAACTACTACAGTTCAAGCAACGGTGTATCCTTCTCAGCTTACAGTCTTTTGAAAAGATAGAACAACTTGTTGTGATTCTCCAGAGTATATTTTTCATAGCCAAGACTGAGAATTAATCTTGTCTAGCCTGCACAGATTTGGATCGTGTTGAGGTCAGTAATATTACAGCCGGCTGTACCTAATGAGTCCTGTCCTATATAATGACTGAAATTAGCTAAGTAAATTGCTGTACAGAATTATACTAAGCAAAAAGTCCTCGTAGAACTGTAATTCATCCTGCGTTTAATCATTTTGGCCACAAATCTTTTTGAAGACTCTTTGACACATGTTGAATATCTACTGTTCCCAGGCGCCTGTCAGAAATCAGGCTCCTTTGGTGTCTCTTGCAATTTAGGCACCAGCAGGTTATTAATGGGCAGATGTCCTCCCGTATACGAACACTCCCATATACTAACACTTTTATCAGTGAACTGCAAAAACCAGTTTGAGGGAACAGAGAAATTTTCTTTAGTCAAATTAATATCTTTCCACTCCAGAAGTCATTCTGCACTGCAGAGAAAGGGCTTAGTAGCCCAGGATGTGACTTTCAAGCAGTGTCACCTCTTATTGACAGGGGAATTTTGGCCTTGTTCTCAGCAGTTCTGTGACTCATAAAGCCAAATCCGAGTGTTTTTGTGTACACAGGGCAGTAGCTGCTCATCTATGTGTTCTTGGGTAAAAAAAAACCAAAGCAAAAAACACCATAAACAAGGTCAGGAATTAAAAAAATAGCCTGAAGATTACTCTGTGAAAATTACTACAATGTTCCAAACCTGTCTTGTATTTTTTTCTGCTGTCCTTTGCATCCTTGTGGGAGTCCTTGGACCCTCCACCTTTCTCAAACCTGCTGCCTCACCCTCTCTGAGCCTGATGGAGCAGCTCCAGTTTTGCAGCTGAACCTGCAACTGAGAGACCCCATGAGCCCTCAATACCCGCTCTTTAAATTGCTTTTTAAATTGCTAAATCGGCTGTTTATCAACAAGCAGCAATGCCTCAGGGCAGAAATTTTGTCTTCCCCATTTGTAGGCAATGCACAGGAGCAGCATTCAGGCTGCTGAAAAATGTCACATATTTAAAAGACAGGCAGCTCTTCCCATTGGAAGCCTGAAATAATGTTGCAGTTGTTTTATTCTGCCTTATCCTCTGAGCTATTTGGGTAACAAAGTCAAATGTAACATGAATAAAATCTCTCCTGAGAGAGTCCATTCAATGGCCTGCGAACTTGAGAGCAAACAGGATTTGAGTCACATGGACTTCCTTTGCCAGAAGACTGTAAGGACCATTGATTTTTTTAAAAAGAACTATAGGATGCTTTTATGATAAAATCCCACAACATTTACACAAAAAGCTTCAGGACATTAAAACCACTATAAATTTAAGGTGGGAGTATGGAAGTGAAGGGGATGGTTAAACCTGTCTTAGCAGTCTGGGAAAATCAACCATAAAGGTAGTTAAGCTTCTGCTTAAGATCCAGATGGAGAAATTAATGGTAAACATTAGCAACTGGCTCATCTACTTTCAGTGCTCAGAATATCTGACCCAGCCAATAGTTTTCAGAACAGATTTACAATGATTTAAGTTTATTAAGGAAAAAATAATTCCAGTGTTGTTACAAGGGTGAAGTCAATAGTGAAGCACTTACAGTAATCTGCTTCCATAAAGCACAGCAGAACCAGCAGAAAGCTTTGTACCCTTCAGGGCTTGCAATGGCCTGTGGGCTGCTCTAGCTTCTGGAAATTATAGAATAATGTGGACTGTGCATAGTATCAGGGGTAGCTAAAATGTCATATCCTCCCATTTTACTTTTTTTTTTAATCTTAGGATAATATGATAAAAAAGGGGAAGACTTGGAATAAACCCTTTTTAATACATGAATTTTAAATATCCAGATTATTTCTGTAGCATGAAAGAAGAATAAAAAACGGAGGAAGATCTTAATGAATGTGAAAGGCCAAGAGTCAAATTGTGTCCTTAACAATTTGGGACCACTTTATTCATTTGGCTGGGGATCCAGTGAAGGTGAAGCTTCTCATACCCTGATTTCTGACTGAAAGTGATTCATTAGACACATTAAAAATGAGCCCACTGTCTACTGCCATAGTGTACACAGGAATTTCCAAAGGGGAGAGGAAATCAGAAGAGCAAGATGAAGGAGATGAGGTAGATAGTTCTTTAGTAGCTACCCTGATTGTAGAAGACGTAAAACCAAACCACTGGAGCACCAAAGCAACCAAGTTCTATTGTCAGCCCTGCAGCTAAGGGAAATGAAGACAGAGGAGGATAACCACATAGTTCTGGTCAGAATATAATTTGGCAATGCTTTGAATATATTCATATCTCCAAGCACTGTCATTACAAACATCTTCTCATGCAAATAGCTCTGTGTTAGTGATTCCTCTTCAATTAGGACATGATTTTCTCATGCATTGCTGAAGTAAAATGCTTCTAAAAACTCTTAAGCAAGGTGCAGAGCTGGGCTGTTCAGCATGATGCTTCACTTCCTCCCTCCAATAACAAAATCAATGTGTGTGCCCATTTGTATTCTGCTGATTTTTCCACTCTTCGAGCGCTAGATACACCTATGGCTTCTAATGGAAGCAGCAGGTACCAGCAATAAGGAAAATCAGGCCACAGTGATTAATAAGCCATTCAACTTAAAACTCAGTATTGTGGCTGTCAGTCGAGCCTGCTGGCTGTAGACTTATCTGAAGCAGAGCAAAAGCACCTCAGCTGGGACAGGCTGCTCTATCAAGGCATGGCTCTTGCAAGGGTGATGTACCATAGGGGTGGCATTCTGCCCCCAGGGATCACGGCACCTTTCCAGGATAGGCAACAGAAGAAACCACACCCCCCCAAAAAAAAAAAAAAAAAAAAAAAAAAAAAAAAAAAAAAAAAAAAAAAAAAAAAAAAAAAAAAAAAAGGAATGGCTGCATTTTTTTTTCTTTGGGTCCACCTTGTCTGTTGAGGGAACACTCCAGCCCTGAGGGGATGAACCTCAAGGCAGGATGACTGAAAAAAGCACCCTTTGCTCTATGTTGACTCCCGCAGAGGCTGGCCACCAGGGAGTAGTAGCAAAACATCTAGCAGGCAGGCTTTTTTTTTTTTTTTTTCTGAACAGAGACAAAAAACTAGGGCAAATCTATCTTTCTTTTCCCCCACTCCAGATGACAACTATTCACACCTCTTTAGTGGTCCCCTAAATCTCATCTCAGGTGACTTTAGTGAGCTAATCACCTCTTATCTCATCATTAGGCACAGAAGAGAGTAAACCATTCTGTGACCCATCCCTCCAGGCTCTTGCAGTTCTTAGGTCATCGGGAAGGAGGTGTAAATCCATCCTCTTAATGGGGAGGATTATAGAGTTATGTGAAACAATTAGAACTGTTTTGCTATTTGCACCACGATTACTTCTTCCTTCCCAACAAAAAGGCAGGATGGGAAAACAAAACTTCATGTCATTTCAACCACTCTCCTTACCACCCTCTCTTCAGCAGCTGTGCTGAAACGATTTGCCCCTTCCCGTCCCCTGTCGCTCTTTTCTTTTGGCTGTGTTGTTTTTAATGCGGATCTCTTTCCTAAGATGATTAATCACAAAGATTCACCACCAGCTGTAGTGCCGTGCCCAAAAAGGCAGCAGAGCGCGAAGGACTGCTGATATCCCCTGAAAAAGACTGCTCAGGAAACCCTTAGGTCGGGAACACAAGCTCTTCTGAAGTGTGTTTATCCCAGAAGAGCTGATAATTAGCGCGAAGTTTCTAAATCCCATAATAAGCAGCAGAGATAGGAGCAACGGTCAAAAGGAAAACCAAAAGAGTGCTGGGAACCTTGCAGGTTTTTAGAAATACGATCTGTGTCACAGTTCATTTGGGGGAAGTGATGGTGTGCTCTGCAGTTGTATTTGTGCATCTGTGTTTAACATTAAGGTAAGCACCTCCAGAACTGTATAGTTTTGTGGGAAGAAAAATTAGAAGACTTAATTACTTATTTGATTTATCTTTTAAATTTTAAAAATGCAGAGCTAGTAAGTGAAATGAATTTCAGAGGAGGTAAAAAAGTGATGTGAAGGGTAATTAGCTATGAAGACACAAATTCCTCAAGCAAGTGAGAAACTTTAGAAATTCAGAAAGTAGAAATTAAGCAGATCAAAAATACATCAAGAGAGAACAGGTACAACATTTATTTTTCTGACTGAATGTTATTAGGAAGCTTAAGTTTTTTTAAACACGTTCAGATTTACAAAGACTTGAATCAGGAGAAGTGTGTTAATCTAATTAGAAGAACCATCTGCTTTTAAACGTTCATGCAAACCTGCCTGATTATTTCTCATGAAAGAAAGTCTGACCACAGGAAACTACTGGATACTTCTGGATGTATTTGTGGGATACCCGCAAGAGATTCAAAAGAATCCAGATACTTAAATTTGGAGACAAATAAATTAACTTTCTGGCCATTATAGCTTTTCAATTTTATCATAACTATGCAGCTACAATTTTGTTTCCCTTTTTTTTGGTTTTAAATAATACAGGATGCCAAGCCTTGAGGAGAAGATAGGACAAATAGAACAGAAAAAGAAAAATCACAATGAAAAATAGTTTCTTGGAGTTTTGTGATGGCAAAAACGTCGATATTAATTTTAAAGGTGAGATTGTGAGCTTATTGGTGACTCCCACCTAAATATGACGAGGGACAAAGGTAAAATCATGCGTGTTGCTTTGAGGATCAGACTAAACTCACACAGTTGACTGCATTCACCAGAGTCAAAATATGTAGTGCTAGGAATTGGTTCATTTAGAGCTATGCTCAGGGAAAAGCGGAAGAAACCACCAGAGGTTACGTTCACTTCTGAAGCCATGAAGCAAATGAACATTTAATAGATTTTCATTTGCTACGTAAGCGAAACGTAACTGCCAGTGTACCAGTTGCAATCATGCTGGCAGGTGTTTAATTGCTTATGCATATTTGAACCCCAATTGCTTCAATAGAGAAGTTTTACTTCACCACTGAGATTGCTGAGTAAATAGCAAGTGTCCCCAGAAGCCATCAAAAATTTGAATAGCTGCCAAGAGTAACTCACCAATTTCAAAAAAATAAAGGAGTAAATGTTAGTCTTGGTAGGAGATTGCAGGAGGAACGCTGGCAACAGATACAACGTTATGTTACAGGTTAGTTGAAAAACTGTGCACCATCTATTGTGTTTGGTGTCTTCATTTCTTCTCAAAACCTAGTATACACAGTATTAAAAGTCTGGTCTTAAAGTTAGGAACTGCTACTGGCTGTCTGCACATTGTCAGCAGAAATGGATTCCTGTCTGGCAGAAACTCTGGTGAGCTACTTGCAAATTGCACAATAATTAAGATCAAAGGCATTCGCTGGGATACTTACAGAAGAGTCATCGGTGCCAAAGATGTCTCGCACATCCCGGACTGTGTGCTTGTTCTTCTTCCTCAGGGTCTGAGTGTAGGTGTTGTACCTCTTCTGTACGGCAGCAGCTTGAGTTCTGGTCAGAGTGGACAGCAGAGCTTGGCCATCCTCCTCTTCAGCTCCAGAGATCAATGTAGATAAACCTACGTCTTGCAGCCATTCTGCCTCCAGCTCCCCTTCTGTGGAGGAAGAGAGTATGTTACCAGACCTCTCAAGGGAGGGTGAGGGGGCTGAAGGAAAGGACTTGGCGTGATGGACTGCTGCCATAGCCTTTACCTTGACAAGACTCCAATTCCAGCCTTTCTCAGGCCACGAGTTAAGATGGTTTTGTCAACAGTGTCTACGCAAGAGAGGCTTACAAGAAGAATAGAAGAGGCATTTCTAACCTGTCCATCAGCATAGGTGTGTGAAAAAGGCAACAGAGTAGTGAGCCTGACACAGCAAGATCCTTGAAAGCTAACCCCCTTATTCAAGAGCATAAATCTCCTCAGTTACCATTTATACCATGCTTACCATTTTTTGCATGCTCTAATGGATAAAGACATTTGGCTGATGGAATTTAAATTGGTATTCAAATTCAAAGAAACAAAAATACTGAAAACGTGTATACAACGGAATAATGTATTTGCACACTAACAATGGAATTTCAGATGCCAGAGGGCCAGCTGGTAATCAGACACCTAGAGAAGAAGCTACACTGAGAGAAGGGTGATGTCCACCTAGTCTAGTAGCTTGTTTTGAACAAGATGATTAAGAACCAGAGCTGCTTACTAAAGAGCAAGGTTCAGTAAAGGGTAGGTAGAAAAGAGGTCAGGTAAGGGTGGAATATGTAGAAACAGCAGTCCTTGCATGCTAGGTATCATCCTAATTTCTAATAATTAAAGATTCACTAGCACTGTAAACCCCAGCATTTCTTGGTATCTTAATTAGTGATTAATATCTTCTTGAATCTTGTTTCCTAGGTGGTTCAAGACTGCAACTGGTTCCATAGTGAGATTAGGCATTGTGTGAAAAACTGCTTTCTATCCTGGGTCTATGGGACACGGGGGAAGCTTCTGGTAACTTTTCACAGAGCCACACCTGCAGTCCCCCCACTACCAAAACCGTCCCAGGAAAAGCCAATGCAGGTTTTCAGCTTGCTACCTGCTACATTAAATTAATATGCCTTGTCATTATTGCACTAGGAGAAGCTCCCAATCTGCCTTCTTTGAATCATTTAGTGATTTTAAATTTTGCTGTCACTGCTTTTTTATTTGCCTGCTTTTTAAAGTAAACAGTCACAGTCTTTTAAAATCTCTCATCACACAGGAGATTTTGAGGTCCTTCTTTTCAGTTTTGGGAGCAATCCTAGCTCAACAGTGTGCTGCTTGAGACAGGCACTAATTTCATTACAGCTCTGACTGAAGAAGAGGTACTACAAATAAACATGTCAAACAGGAAACGGATTAATTTGCAGCATGTTCTATAAAACAACTAGTCAATGTGCTTATTGTTCTTGTCCCAGTGCTGGTCTTAATGGCAGGTTGGTATTTCCACTCTCCCTTTATTGCCTCTTCTTGACATCAGAATGCAGGCTGATTGATGGACACCAGTTTGCTGCACTTTGGCAGCTAGATACACAAAAGAGTAAATTACAGGACTGGGCTGCAGGGACAAGCAAAAGCATCTTATGCATGTGCCATCACTGACTTCATTGTTAACTGCCCTACCTCTTTACAAAGCTCTACAAAAATAGCTGCTTCTAAAACCCTAGCTCTGTGTTAGCCAGGGGTGTGACCAGCCCTGTATCCCGTGAAAAAGCTTCTCCACTCTTATCCTTTCTGTATCCACAGACAGGATGAGAGAGTGTTCCCTTCCCGTCTTTGTAAGTTTTGAACTTCCCTCCTCACTCTTCTTTCTAAGAAGGTCTCTTCTCATTCTTATGTGCTGCTGTTGGAGCCACATCTGTTCATGTTTCATTTTTAAAATTATATTAATTTTAGCTTTTGTCTTGACATATTCTTTCCAAGTATTGAGTTTTTAATCAAACTTGTTTTTCATGATGCTATGAAAAATAGTAAGGCAGACATGAAATTCTGCCTGCTTACCGCTTGTTTTCTCTGGCTTTAGGCCTCTTCCTGTTCCAACCACTCACAAACAATAGACTAAGAAATAGCAACAGTAATTAGAGGAGTAAAACTATCAAAGAAAAGAAATTTATGCATTAAAAAAAACCTCAAAATTTTGTGACACATAGGTTTTAAATATAGGTTAAAAAAAAACCCATGTTGTTTTACAAAATCTTATTTTGATAGTGTTAGCTACTTATATAGCAGGATCGTGATACTGCGTTTGATTCTGCTCCACCAGAAGACAAACAGATAATTGAGAGGGTAATTATCTTTTTCTCATAGAGATTGCTAGGAAAGAGGTGTGCCTTGCTTTGAATTTCAGATATAAACTAAAATAACTCACAGATATAACCTTAAACAATACACAGCATTCCAGCCTTGAAACATGGAAGTTATAAAGCAGCTCAGCACATCACAGACATCTTAAATACCCCATTTCTTCCTCCTCCCCTACATTTTCACCCCTTGTGCCACTTGTTATAATCTTCTGTTCTTTTTTGATTGTATTTACTAACATCAGCAGAATAACTGTGTTGTTCTCTGCCCCTTGCACATGTTGTCTGGCAAACCACATTGTGGTTTTGACAGTATCAGTGGTGCCTGGCTGCTAGCACCCTTTGGCCTCCTTTTTAAGGATCCTGCATCTCTTCCTCTCAGACATATCAAAAGGGCGATGAATATTTGGTTTTATTTTGCCCCAAGGGTTTTCACATTGATTTGACAAGGAGAATTATCCTATTAGGACCTTAATAGAACTTCTAAGATTTATAATCCCGAACTGAATATATTCCTGAGCTTAAAAACTAGGACAAACATTGCCTGGTTGTGTGTGAGTGTATGCAATACATATATATATATATATATATGTTTAAAACAACAAAATGAAGGTAAATGAAGTGTGGAGACATACTGCATTTTGACTTGCAATCTTATTTTTAATTCAGGTCAGAGGGGAAAAAATCAATGCATCGTAACGAAGTGTAATCAGACAAAGGGACAAAATAGGACTGCAGCAGTGTTTGTTGTGAAGGTTGTGAAGATTTAGTTCAGCAGTAATGAAACTGATGGAAAACTTACTGGGAAACGAGCTCCTGTATTGACTTTCCCTACTAACTTACACAGCTTGGTAACTCACAGATTTGTGATGTTCCCCTGACAGCGCAAACAAGTCAGAGACACCTGTCAGTTCATGCTGACAACTGAATGAAGGAGAGGCACCAATAGGTTCACAACCTTTTTCTAAGGTCTCCAAGTTAAAGAGTATGATCAGACAAGAATTTTCCCAATAAGGACACAGGAGTGCAGTTTAGATTTAAGCTGACTGACCATAATCCTCATGGTAGACCAAGATTTCTGGTGAACTGGTATTTTCCCTTGGCTTCCAAGAGAGCCTTCCCACTAGTGAGTGGGAGGCGTTTCCGATGGAAACAGTACACGGCTGGAGTAAGATACCTCTGTGTAGGTTACTTACCACGACTGATTACATATTTGTTTGATTAATAAAGTAGTACTTTTCCCCCCTTTTCTTGGGAGCAGAACTAATGACATCCCATTGTACATCAAGGTAAAAACCCCCCATCATCACTTGTGTTAATTATCGTAAGGAAAGAACACACCATTGTTTCAAAATCTATCTCCAGATCAGTAATTACCAGACTAGTAGCCGTGAGCCACAAGATATTCTCCAGGAAGAGTTATCAGTGGGTCCTGACCTCAGAAGAAATTCTTTTTCATCCTGTAGTAACACCTGGTATTTTGTGTTGCACAATATAATGCATTTGTAAATGGGGCCAAAACTGGAAAAAAATGTGAACTGTTGTTCTACGTGTTATCAAATCTAACACAAAGCTGCATTGCAACAAGCCAGTGCAGACTATTATGTGTTTTTCCAAATACAGTACAAAACAAGACAGAAGAAAATGTTAAGATAACAGAATGGGGTAGTAATACCTTCAGGATATGTTGGATAAATGATGAATGAATTTGGTCAAGTGGGGAGTCTGAACAATGTAGGCATCCGCATATTCAGACTTACCCCTGAACTAAACTCTAAACTCTTCTTGAATTATATCTAAATTGGGTAATCTCATAGAAAATGGCAGTTATCAAATTCCTGATAGCACTAAACAATATCTAACCAAAAAATTCTTCAAGACTTCAATAACTTCTGTATTATATCCTATCAAAAGCCAGAAAATTTAAAATTCCGGCACACTAAAGGAATTATTAACAAAATAAATTTAACAAAATAAATTGTTTTACTTTAAATGTTTTGGTTTAGTCTATTTAATACTGGAGATTTAGTTTTCATTGAGTGCCTCTCTTTTCTGAATTACACCATATCTGCTCTCCTGAAGCATAAACAAAGTCAATTCAAAAAAAAATTACTTCAGAAGTTAATTACCAGCTCCAGTTATAAACCAGACTGAATTATTGCTTCTTTCCAGTGATTGGCTGTAATGTTCAGAAGTGGAGCTACAATGACCCAAGCATAATACTTTTGCTCATACAGAGTGACACAAGAAAGGAGATCAGGGCTCAACTCTTTAGTGAGGAGGTAAAGCCAAGGCATAAAGAAGAAGCAGTGTTTATGTGCTCACCATCAGCAGGCTTGAACTCCAAGAGTGTTGCCTCTTCAGATCCATCTTCTCTGCTCTCCTTGATGTTCTCCACTTCACACCAAAAGTCCTCCATGGAAGTGCTGTCCATGGAGGCCTGCGAATTGGAGCGACTGAATGTAGGAGGAGGTGCTGACTCGTTGGAAAGCATCCTGTTAATTCTTCGACAACGAGGGAGGGACTTTCTGAAGAGACAGTGATACAAAGAAAATTACCTTGATATCACGCTAACTCGTCCCATGCAGATGGAGCAGGCAACTAGGGCTTCACCTGTGACTCTACCAGGGAGAAGGGAACAAGATTTCAGAGACCAAGTACACAGTTCTGGTAATTTTTGCAACCTCTGTTGTTCATAAGAATTATGGCTGGACATTTATTTTGCATCTAATAATTTATGTATTTAATGTTCTTTAGTGTTTCTCACTAAAGAGGGATGAAGGAGATGAAATTTCTATTTCTAATACTGATATCCACCTAATGAGACACTGGAAAACTATGTTAACGTTTTTGTTCCTAGGTTTCTCTTTCTATCTCTTATTTTTCTGCGTGGCTGAAATTTTTCAGTGAAAACTTCTCTTGGGAAAAATAATGAGACTTGGGAACCCTGAAATATTTTACAAACTTATACTGGCTCTAGAAAACAATTCAAAACTCAAAATGCTTTAATTCAGAGGAATTATTACCTTTTATTTGAAAACTCTTTTAAAATATTTTTTTCCTTAAATTAAGCTAAAATAGAAACAATTTAAAAAAATTTGTCTTTGAATTGAAACAGTATATTCTAGGTCAGACAGAAGGCTTTGATCACAGGTTCAAAAATCATGATTCACTTAAATCAAGTTTCAAACTAAGATTCAATACTGTGATTGAATTAAAACAAAGTTTGTTCCTTAGTCTTTAGTTCTGACCTTTTCCCACTGTAAGTACTTGCAGCTGAAGACAGTTATATAAGTTCATTCAAAATTTTATACAACACCCACCATGAAAGTCTCATCTGACTTTGCTCTTTTGCGTTGTTATTGCTGCAATACCGTAAGGAGCCTTTGCAAGTATAATTGTAGTAGGTACAGTAATCAGTAATAATAACCACAACAATATTTGTTAGGAGTTAGGAGGTAACGCAATTACGGCAGAGAGCTAGACTACAGGAATTAATGGAAAGTTCTGTCATAAGGTCTTCTGGCCTTCACTGATCTGAATTAATTCAAATGCAGTTTCCCTTCCTTTTCTGTATGGCATGATTCTGCCAACACGCCTTTGTTTAAAAACACAGGCAACACTTTTACTCCAAAAAAAAAAAGAGATTTCCTTTTCACTATTTCCCTCCGTGTCAAAGTTTTGGTAATGGATTTATAAAGAATAAGTAATTTAATAAAGCTGACTAAGCATGCTTTTTCCTCTTTGTGCTGCTGCCACTGCTTCATCCTTCCTCGCCAGTGAAGGGCTAGCTGCTTTCCTGGGGCTCCTGGAGCGTCCTTGCTCTATCTGGGTGGTTCCTTCTGGACTAGATCTGAGTATCAGGTTGGGGAGCTGTGGTAGAAACAACGGAGCACATCAAATCCAGCTTTGGACATGATCAGGCTTTATAAAAGTTAAAGCTCAGGCCTTGGCCTCTTTTTGAACACATGCAAGTGTAATATGGATGATTCAGCTGCCCAAACTGACCATGTGTTCTTCGTGAGACGCTGAGAAGCAAAGCTTTGTGATGGATGACAACACTGCAGCAGGAGAAAATGTGCTATGGAGCTGTGGAGACACGTACTCCAGTCAGAGAGAGAAGAGCTATCTTCAGTGTTTTTCTCCTTTTTCCCCCTTATAAACAAAAAATGATTGTTTACTTTAAAACACAGTGCTGAAGCTGTTACTGTTTTAATTAGAACAAGCCACAGTCACCAAATCTAAGAGGAATTTGCGACACAACTGTGGTTAAAGCTATTTGAGTGTTTTCCATGTAGCTGTCCCTCTGGGGAGACGTGTTTCAGTCGGCTTTTGTTTGCAAAGCCTCAGATGACTGGGGAACCTGATAAATTATAATTACTGGGATTATGTATTCTGGATGTGTCAGCCTCTGGTTTCTTATGGGTTTCCCTTTCTTTTACGGATTCAACTATCTTTTTTCCCTGCATCAGCAAGTAAGAAAAAAAAGCATGTCTCACGTAACCTAACTTTCATGAGTTAATACTGTACCAAGCATCCCCAAGCAGAGGTTTTAACCACCAGAAGCACAACCCCTGAGAAGCAGCCAGAAAACCCCATCTCTTCAGCTGGGAGCTGGCAGGGGGATGGGGGAAACAGCTACCACTGGCCATTTGCTTGCTGCTGTGAAAAGCTGAGCTCTTTAGTTTAAAAGGTGATAGTGAACACAAATAAGGAAAAAGGCAAAAACTTCCTGGCACTCGAATGGCGTTTGGGGCCCCGTTCTCTAGACATTGTGAGAGCAGAGGAGACAGCCCAGCCCGGTGCCTATCCTCCCGCTGCAGCCTGTCCCTCACCAGCCTCTGCTTAAGCTCGGGGCTCTGCCTGAAAGCCCCACAGTGCTGCCCACTGAGAAATTCATGTCTCCACTTACTATAAACTGGTGCGAAAAATAAGTTCCTACATGTGCTATATAGCACAGCCCAGAGCTCCCAAGCCAGCAACTGCAGTAAGGAACACTCTCACCAGTCTGGAATCAAACATGCGCTAGGAGGAGAAGAGGGTACCTCTGATAGCATCATTGGGTCCCATAATTTAGTCATGGTCAGAGAATTTTAACATTTCCTGCCCTTCCAGTGTGAATCTTGATCATGACCCTTGTGCTCTTCAGGAGCCACATGACACTGCTCCTTGGGCCTCGACTCCATCACCACTTCAGCTGGCTCGAACCAAGGCTTTTTATTTCACCATATTAGGAAGAAAGAGGCTTGGTGGGTTGCTGCTTTTCTCCCCACAGTGCGTATGCTTATGTTGTAATACTACCATAACAAAAAGCTAAATGCAAAACAGACCACGTAGCACAGCAACAACTGCTGTGGCAACCAGCTTTACCAAATACGTCTAAGGTTCCCGGGTAATTAATGTGCATTTACAACAATATTAAAGTACAAAGCCTACTTGGAAAATCAGCTGAACAAAGTCTCCTGAGAACTTCATCTGTGAGGCTTGTTATCTCAACCTGGATTAAATCAAGCTGTGCAAAATTCCTGTAATGAGAAAGGTTAGGCAGAGGTGCTTTATCCTTATTGGTAAACATCTGAAACTTGCTTCCAGGTGGTCTGGTACAAACCTTCGTGGATTATTCTCAGTCTGCCTATTAAAAGCTCATGTGTTTGAAAGACCTCCAGCTGCTGTTTTGACCCATATACCTGTGACTTTTGTCCTGCAGGAAGTGGTCTTGCCTTTATGTGATAATGGCAGTTGTCTCCCATTTCCTCCAGCCAAAGCCGCTCAAAACAGTTTCAGGAAAAAAAAGTCCTACTGAGGAAGCAAAGCATATTCTTCACTGCTTTTAATTAATTCTTGAAGGACACTAAATGAGCACTGACTCAGCGATCTGCCTGTCTGTCTCAGAAACAGTTCAAGAAGCCCAGGTGGCCTGTTACCTTGGAACTCTCACAGCAGAAAATCTCTGTTCCTGACACCTTTTTCACCTTCAACCCATTCTGTCTCATTTGCTCTTTTTTTTCTCAGTGTCTGTACAGAGGGTTAGAACAATAAAAAGTTTTCACTAAGCTGATTCTGTTGTTCCTACAGAAAAGTTGAAAAACAGTCATGTTAAGTACGTAGCAATTACAAAGCTCATGCTCAGTTTCTTTTGTTCACACACATGGGTAGTGGCAAGCTAATCTGAAACACTGACTAAATTAAACACAGGAGGGATCTCAGATCCTGGCTTACTAGATGGAAAAAGCTGGCAGAGAAGCATGAATCTAAAAGCACTGAGCAACAGTTATAGCAACTCCACTGAATGAGTTGAAATTGTTTTCAGGGTGGAATTAAAAAAAAAAAAAAAAAAAAAAGAGAGAAAGGGTTAAAGAGCGCCAGTAAGGAGAAATACGTTGATATCATTCAGAAAGCTTTCTGTGGAAACCTTTTTGCAAGGAAGCAGGGTATTTCCATGGACACAAGGAGACTGATTCAACTGTGTGTGACTGGTTTTGGTCTGGTGTATGTTTATAATTCTGACGAAATGCAACAGCAAAGCAGGCCTACTGACCCTATATTTTATCTTCCATAAGTAGTACAGAAGTGTGCTGCTCAGGATCTGATACCACACATTGATTTCAGGATAGCCAAACCAGATCCAATAAGCTATTCTTATCCTATCCAAAGTAAAAGTAAAAGTTTGTCAAACCACATGAAGAGCTGGCTCAGTGACATCTATGATTGCTCACAGGCTCAGTAATGATAAAGCTAGGCTTGTGCTTTGAGCTTAATTAAGTAATAGATAGTAAAGAATCCATAAAACAAATGGGAGCAATAAAGTCATCTTGTAGTTAAAACCAGCACTTAATCCTTGTTTACAGAGAGAGACAGGACATCTTACTCTTGAGGGCTGTTGTACTTCCTTTAATTTGGTGGGTCCTGAACCTGCTTTACCATAATTTGTCACATTTATAGGAATGGGGAAGATGAAGGAAGCAAATTCTCCTGGTCACTGTAGGATGAAGATCCACCTTTTCACATTGCAATCGTTCTGTCAGTATAAACACTTGCTCAGCTCTTCCCAAATGTAAAAAAGAGGATTATAGCACGCATTGACAAAAAAAAAAAAAAATTATTCCTCTTTATTAAGAATTGTTCTGAATTGTTAGGAAGCAGTTATGTACTATTATTTATCTTCCTTTTAAATAAAATGTATACAAATTCCAGGCAAAGGAAGAGTCCAGCAATGGGAAATAGTAGTTTTGTGCACAGTTCACTGCACAGTTCACCCTTGCCCCAAATTTCTTATCTTCTGGTTCCTTCCTGGAGACCCTGCACTGTTTGCTGTCTGCTTATTTCCTTCTCTCCATGCTTGGTGGCTTCTGATCACAGAGAGGGATATATATCAGACAACATCTAACCCCCGACTCCATCTATACACTTCTGTTTCTGATTATCTTGCAAATGTTAGGCAAGTTGTATACAGTGGATCCTAAAGCTTTCCGGTCCATTCTCTAACATCTAGGATAGCAAACATTTAAACTATCGACCTCACTGATTT